TTTCACAAAGTTGCTGAAGCTGGCCTTGAAATTTTGATTCTTGTGCCTCAACCTTCCAAATTGCTAGTATAATAGGTATGCACTACCATACCCAACTTGGATCATATTTTGAATTTATATATATATATACACATACATACACACACATACATACATACACACACACACACACACATACACACACACACACACACACCACACACACTTTTTCAGTACTGGTAATTGAACTCAGGGTCCCTCTACCATGAGATACATCCCTAACCCTTTTAATTTTCTTTATGGGACTTGGTCTGCTAAATTGCCAGAGTAACCTCGAACTTGCAATCCTCTTGTCTCAGCCTCCTGAGTCACTGGGATTATAGGCATATACTACTATACCTCTCTAAATTATATCATTAAAAGGTCATGGAGATTTCAAAAAAAATAAAAGTATATTATAACCTCTCAAATATGAAGTTACAAATAATTTTCAAAGGGGGTTGAGGAACCAAGGCAGTAGAGTTTTGGAAAATTATTGGACAATGGCTTAAATTATGAGCTATACCTCTTGTACTTTTCATGTATTCTCTCTGTACCCCCCACCCCCTAAACCTATCCTGTCTGCTGTGGTCACAAATGAAAGTTGACCTTCTTTATCACATTTATAGGTAAGCTTATGCTATAGCTTCAAAAATCAGAAATTTTTAAAGTGGAAATCGGTACTCAGAGACCACAAATTCTTTTCTCTGGTTTGAAGCAATAAAACTCTGAGTTGCAATCTAGTGTAACCATCAGTCATCTGTCTTTCTAAATGATTCCCAATGAGTTTTTTTTTTTCTTTTTTCCTTTAATTTTGAAAATAATGATGGGTGATGAAAACAGATGAGATTAAATCAAATCAAAATTCAAATAAAACTCTCCCACACCCTGGCCCAAGTGCCCGTTTCTTGACCCTTTCCTGTTAACCATGACAACCCGTTCTGATCCTTTAGACTCTGAGCACCATCACCCCCTTGAGGAAGCCTTCTTCAGTATACCTCCACTCCCAGGGGACAGTGTTGGTCTCTCATGAGTATCACTGTAGCTTGGCATTGTTTTTCTGTTTGTCTCCTACATTGAACAATGTCCTTATGTCTCCAGTACCAAGCACAACAGCCAGCACTCAGTGACTGTTGGCTAAATGAATGGGTCAGTGAACAACTGACAAAATAAGCCAATTATTCCTTTCTTAGGTGTCAAAAGTAATTTTAATCTAGAGGAATAAAGATGGTTTAGAAGTCCCTAGCTGCTTTCTGAGTCCACATTAAAGTTATACTCATTTTACTTGTTCTTTTCAAAGTGACTATGTAAGTGGTATTATGGTTTGGATTTTAAATGATCCCCCAAAGGCTCAGTTACCAGCTTATGGCACTGTTGAGAGGTGGTGAAACTTCAGAAGGTTGGGCCTAGAGGAAGAGAATTAGTTCATTGTGGGTGTGCCCTTGAAGCAAATATTGGGATTCTAGCCTCCCTGCCCGCTTCTGATTCCTAGCTGCCAGGACAGGCTTTCCCTTTGCCATGTTCTCTGCCATGATGTACTGTGCCACCAGAGGCCCAAAGTAATGAGGCTAAGCAACCACGGACTGAATCCATAAGCCAAAGTGAATCTCCTCCTTATAAACTGATTTTCTTAGATATTTTGTCACATCAACAGGAAGCTGAATAACACAAGGAGTTAACCATTACTTTGGAAAATGACTACTCCATGATTCAGTGGTCATTGATCACACAATGGCATCATGACAGCAATTGTCCATCCACTATTTGGTAATTTGCTGGATTCTCACTCAGCCCATAGAAACAATTCCAAAGGTTTGTTTCAGGGTTCTCTGATCAACTGGACTTGGCCAAACTGATGTATAAAATTTTAATTTTGAGTGGGGTGGTGAGGGTTAGTGTCAAGAAACATTCCAAATTTTGTGTGTGATTTGTATTCAGATTTGATTGCCCTTTCTTATTTGTTAGGATGAGTGTAAGAGTGATAAAGCTGGAGTTGTAGCTCAATGGTGGAGTGCTTGCCTAGCATGTGTGAGGCATTGGGTTCAATTCTCAGTACCACATATAAATACATAAAATAAAGATCCAACAACAACTAAAAAAAATTACAAAAAAAAGAATGATGAGGCCTATATTAGTATGCTATGAAAACTGCTAAACAGTGGTACTTGGAAAAATGGCTAAGTGTGTGCACTTTTGTAAAAGTGATTAAACTGAAACAGGATTAGCAAAAATTTAGGGTTCAAGATTAGCATAGAAATTAATTTCTGAACAAGCAGGTTGTCTTGTTTCATTTAATTGTTTCCTGTGTGATTATGTAAAGAAAAAAATTAATTTCTAATTTTTTTAGCAGTACTGGGGATTGAACACAGGGTCTTGCATATGCTACGTGAGCGCTGTGCCATTGAGCTGCAGCCCCATCCCTGAAATTAATTTCTGATTTTTTTTTTCTTTTAACCTTGAAAACTAGTAGCGTGTCTCAACTTCTTATTTGTGTCTGTGTCTAGAATCCCATCTGGTATCCTCTTCATCATCCAGTGGCCAATCAAGAGCCTATTTATACCCTGAGTTTCTGACTAGTTACTTCTGACCCTAATTATCTCATGCAGCACTTTCCAGTTTGTATCTGAACCATTTCCTACTCAGTATATTTTTAGGAAGCTCCTCCTCTGCTGACTCTGCCAAGCAATCCTGGGAATGCTTCTTGAAGAGACTGTTCACAGCCTTGAATTTGAAAATGCTTAATCAGGATTCAAAGCCTGCTTCACTGGTATGGAGGGTTGTTTTCTGTGAAGGCATCAATCTCCACACAGAAGAGTGACTTTGAAGGGGACTAACCCCTCATGGAGGCCTACAATGTGGTTCCATCCTCATACTTCATTCAGGAATGACACTGATGAAAAGAAGGAAGGGCTGAGGTGACACAAGCCTCAATACCGTACACTTGGATCTGTGGATGTTTTCTGGTTTAAGTTTCGCATGTTTTAGACCCCATTTCTCTCCTTTCCATGAACTGTGAACCCCCTGGACCTTTATCATGCCTATCTCATCTTAAAAGGATTCCTTAGTTTCTTACTCAATATAATTTTGTTTATATGTGGTTGAAATACAAGCATACTAAACCCTTGTTAAACTGGTACTGATTTATTCTGGACAATAGCTCTATTGCTCCTAAAAAGAGAAAGCTACTCTTCCTAGCATGTTAGGTGCTCACTTGCTCTTAAAACATTGGCTATCCTCTTTCTTGAAGTAGAAATCTCTTCATTTCTAGACCCCCCAGTGTTTTAGAATTGAAAAAAAAAAAGGTTTCCTATAATTAAGGCTTACAACTATAGTATAGTGAAAAATACAATGTATTCCAATGGCCACATAAAATATTCACTGAGAGTTCCAAATGAGTAGAGATGTGTGTGTGAAATTTTGATATTATATAATTGTGTATAAAGTTACATTAGTTTTATATAAAAACTCATTTTAGGAAAAACATGGTCAAAGAGTAAAATCAATACTAACAATAAATCTAGAATCATATTACTGAAGAAAAGTAAACATATCAAATAGGTCTATAAACATTAAACGTGACTGGATAGTTTTAAATTAAACAATATGATAATTTATTGAAATTTACTAAGAACAGCACTTATTAGAATTTTACTAACTCATTAACTCTAAAATTTTTCCTGCAAATATTATTTATATTAGCAATAATAGTATTAATATTAAATTAATATTTTAAGGTACCATTCAACATTTAAAAAGCATTTAAAAAACCTGTTACAGCAGCATCATGATCTTAATCAGTTATACTCAAGTAACATAAACTAGACAAATACTGACTTAATGGCATCAGTAATTAAGAAAGTGATAATTTTGGAGAAGAAAATCATCTACAGTTATTATTGCAATACTTACTCATTGCTGTGAAGACAGCATAAACAGATTCCTTGCGTATGCTTTACAGAATTCATCTCCTAATGAGAACCCGAATCTGAACTCTGTCACTACCTTACTTGCTATGGGATCCTTTGGAGAGACTCCTTTGGATAGACTCCATCTGTTTCTGTCTATAAATTGCTCAGATTATGGAATTTTTGTCATAGCAACCCAAATGGACTAAGACATTGACTAAATGAAATGCTAGTGAAAGCATTAAAAGTAGACATGTTGAACATTTATCATGGAGTCACTAAACATAAATGTATAGGAATACTGATAAATCTTTGATAAAAACAACTTCTCTAGCACAGAAAGCATATTAATATTGCTACATGTTGACACTTAAGTCCACATATGACATTTAAATCCAGCTGTGTATGGGTGTTAAATAAAGGACCTGATATAATCAAAGCTTTAGAGCTCAAAGCATTCTAAAAGATCAGCTAGTCCAATCTCCTTATTTTGCAGATGATAAAATTAAGCTTTAAAAAAAGAGATGTTTTTCTCATGTATTCAGGGAGTTACTACAGATCCAGGAATGATGAGCTCCAGTTGTTAATTTCAACATGTGGATTCGAACCTCTGAGAATACTGAATTTTACTTGGGACCCTTAAATATACATACTAAACACTGTCTAGATACTTAACATACCATATTTTATGGGTATAATTTTTCAAATGTGAGTAAATGCCTTTGGTATTAACAAAATCTACTTATTCTTAAGTATGAAATATGTGGTATTTTGTTGTTGCTATTTTATATTTGTCAAAATATTATATGAAAACCATTGAAATTCTTTGAAGTGAATATGAAACTTTGGGGAACCAGGGCACAATATCCCTTCTACTATTTATTAACACTTTGAATAATTCAAGATGTCACAAATACGAAGGGGATAATGATTTAATCCTTCGTTTATTTTTTAGTGTTGTTATTAGTTATCGGAACAGAAGACCAGTATTGCTGATGCAAAAGTTAGTCTGAGATTAAGAACTCAGACAAGTAACACAATGAAACAATATCATAGATAAGTGCTCTGACCCAGTGCGTACAGCATGCCACTGGAGCATTGTTTACATCTGGTCATACCAAGTAAAAAACAAGTTTATAGGCATATTAAGACACATGGAACATTTTATTTTATTGGCATCTTTCACTTGGCAAGAGAGGTATCATGGGAACACCCATCTAGTCTTTTATCCTGACTTAACCAGCAACATGCCTGTTTTTTATTTTAATTGGCACATAAAAGTCATACATATTGGGGTACCATGTGATGTTTTGATACAAGTAGGTATATTTTATAATATACCAATCAAATATTTATCATTTCTTTATGGTAAAAACATTAAATTCAGCTTTTTTGAAATTAAATAGTATATTATTATCTATAGTCATCCTACAACTATGCAATAGAAATATCATTTTTCCTGAATATATCTTAGTATTAATCCACCAATCTTTCCTCATTGTTCCTTCTCCTTTATTTTCCCCAGCATCTGGTAACTATTATTCTACTCTCAATTTCTATGAGATCAACTTTTTTAGATTATATGTATTTGTCTTTCTTGGACTGGCTTATTTCACTTGACATAATAATGTCATTTACATCCATATTATTTTTTTCAATGACAACATTGCACTATTTATGCCTGAATAGTATTCTACATGCATTAGCATGTGCATGTGTTTCACATTTTCTTTATCCATTCACCCTT